TCTCTCTCTCTCTCTCTCTCTCTCTCTCTCTCTCTCTCTCTCTCTCTTTCTCTCTCTCTCCCTCTCTCTCCTTTGATACTATTAGTAAAATTCATTTTGTCTTAACCAGTAAAGCACACTTTGCACCAGTGTGTTTCCATCTGTCATAGTAGCGAAATCACCTGGATTGTTGCAAAAAAGATATTCCTGAGCTCCATTCCAGGACTCAGATTCTGTTTTGAGAAGGGTCAGAAAGCTACTTTTAACAAATTAATCAAAATATTCTAATATAGGAAAACCATACCTACTAGATGCCACTTTACCTTGTTGACACCTATGGAGAGAAACATATTTTGGGCAAATCTTAGTTACAACAGAAGAGGAAACTTTACTTGAAGTTTGAAGAAGGTATTGATGGCTGGACAGAAAAAGAAAGCAATTTCAAGGATGAGTTAAATGCAATGAAGGAAATTAAATAGAAAGATGATATTTAAAATTAGAATTGCAAGTTACTAACTTCTTGGTTCTTTATACAAAAACAGACCAGAAGTATTCACTTACTCCAGAGAAAAAATGTCAGCATATATTCTCCACTTAGAAGAATTTCATGTTAAGTCTCTAAGATGAGAACATATACTGGTTCCATGGAGCCAGGGCTAAAACATAGTTGTCCTAACTTTTGATCTTTCTAAATATTACCAACTACAGAGCTGATAATCAGAAGTGCCCCATCTTACTGTATACAAGAAATGGAAGTCAGAAAAAAATTAAATCATAAGTTTGGAGGGGTGGTAATAATTTTGTTATTGAAAATATGCCCCATTTTGTAGATGACAAAGTTTGGGGTTGCAGATGTTTTTATAATAGTAGTTTCATTTCAATTAACAACAAAATACATTTTTTGTGATTTTTCTTATTGCAGGAGTGACATGTATCATCCCAGAGTATATGAGTGGAATCTGTGAGGAGCTGAAAATGAAAAAATATTACTATGAAGATAATGTAACCTTGGAATGTAAGGATGGGTATACTCTAGATGGCAGTTCTCAGAGCCAGTGCCAGTTAGATGCCACCTGGGATCCTCCTCTGGCCAACTGTGTATATCGTAAGTACAAGATACAGGGGTTGGAACCCCTTCCCAGCATGGTCACTCGCTGACTGACCAGTCACCTGTCTATTCTGGTGCCCACTATGATGAGATGTTACATTGTGTAGAGTTTAGGGAGCTAAGACAAGATCCAATGTGGGTCCCTGAGCGACTGATAAGACAGATCCAGGACCATGAAGACCATGAAGTTGGTGCTGACAATACTATGGCCCATTCTGCTGATGATTCCGAATGGACGGATGGAACCAAGATGGGGGATCCTCTCCGTATTCCCACGACCAATGCCGATTCATCATGATGCTAGGTTGTTTCCGCGACTGTTTACCAATAATAGAAGTCTTGATATTCCTTATTTGCCAATAGAAACGGATTTAATACCCATAGGAGAAAATAGATCTTTTGGCCTAAAAGGAACCTTATGTTTTTATATAGTTCGCAACATTTCTGAAACATCCTCCTGCATTCCCTTATACAATCAAACGGCCGGTTGGTTTGATTTGCCCTTGAGTTCTAGTGGCCCCTGTCATTCAGCGAATGCCACTTGGGCATCAGGATGATGGCCTGCAAAGATGGATGATGGTATTCCTCCACACCAGCCAAAATGGGCTCCCTATTGTTGGGGGATAAACTGGGGAGAGTTTTGGCCCTGGACTGGCTGTCAGTCTCATACAGTAACTTGGGCTGATAAAGCACAGCGTTTTACCTTTTCCCCAGGAATTAGCACAAGTTTTAATAAAAGTTTTGCAGGCTTTAATTTTAGTGATCAGAATCCTTTTCGAAGCTATGTGTCTAACCCCTTTGATAATTGGCTGTTGTATGGTATTAATGGTAGTTGCATGAATTTAGAACCCATGATTATGATTGGCAGAGGAGTCCATGGAACTAGCCAATTTACCTGGGGTACATCTCGCCCATGGGGATGTTGGGGCTCTGAACTGTCCTACGTTACTGTCACTTCCCCTGATGGCACCACTGGTATTCATTCAACCTATGCTGGCTGCTCTGATGAAGGGAGTAAAACATTTTATAATATTACCTATAAGCCAACCCCAATGTGTGTTTATCCTCCATTTATGTTTATGGTAAGTAATACAGAGACAAGCAATTGTGATAATGTAACTTGCTTTTATGCCCAATGCTGGAATGCCAGCTTGTTTAAATATGCGATTGTTACCCACATACCACGATGGATACCCGTCCCTGTGGATGCTCCTCACGCTATGAGCTTATTTAGACTAAAAAGGGATTTTGGAATTACCGCTGCCATCATTGCTGCCACTTCCCTAGCAGCGGTTGGAGCTGCCACTGTGGCGGTTGCCATGAGCCATACTGTACAGACTGCACAAACCCTAAACAACCTTTCAGCCAACGTTGCATTGGCTTTAGATGTTCAAAAAGTGATCAATACACAACTGAAAGGAGGGCTAATGGTAGTTAATCAAAGAATTGATTTGATGCAGAAACAAATCGATGTCCTCTGGCAGTTGGCTCAGCTAGGATGCCAATGAAAGTATGCTGGACTCTATGTGACAAGCATACAATATAAAAATTTTACCCATGCTGCAAACTTGTCTAAACAACTGTCTAGTTATCTCCTAGGTAATTGGACTGGAGAATTTGAAACCATGATGAAGCAGCTGAGGATGGCCATCGTTACCATGAATTCCACCCGAATGGATGCTGGAATGGCTGAAGGGTTTTCATCCTGGATCTCTGCAGCTATGAATCATCTGAAGGAATGGGCGGGCTTGGGAGCATTAGCTGGCCTTCTGGTGTTGGTCTCCCTAGCATGTCTGTGATGTATCTGTCGGATTAGGGACTCTCAACGATGCAGTGCAGCCATGATAATACAAGCCTTTACAGCCGTAGAGGCTGGCCAATCCCCCCAAGCATGGTTAGCCACCATGAAAGGTTGATCTGATGCATTCAGGGTACAAAACAAGACACTACACTCAAGGACAGCTATTTGCTGGCCTTGAGAAGAGCACGCCTGACTGCATATGGGTTGGTGCCCAAGATCCCACCTCTGGAAAATGGCATCGAGCCAATCTGGCACTCTTTGAATGGGAGACACCTAAGGAGGATCAGTATAAGGCTCTTGTTTCACAGAGAGCAGGCCTCTACTCTTACCTATGACGTCTAAAACAAAAAAGGGGGAGATGTAGAGAGCTGCTTTGTTCTGTGCCTTGAAAATGACGCTGGCTTCTGCTCTTCACCCCTGACTGGTGGACATTCTCTGACCCTAAACATCTTTATTTATGGCCAAATATGTGACCTGGCTTGCTTCTGCATACTTAGCCCTATCCGCATTTCCCACGTGGCTTGCTAGGGTTGGCTACCCAGGGGGTATTCAAGCAGCGAGCGGGCTTTTCCCGTCCCATTGTTCTACTCAGAAATTGTTCAAGGTCCTGAATAAAGCTTAGGAAAGAGAGCCACATGTGGCGTTTTTCTTGCTGGTCAAGTCGAATGCCACATCCAAGCACAGCAATGTCCCATGGGCAAAGGTGCAGAGGGAGCATGCACACAGAGGAGATGCACACATTTTACCCTGTGTCCCAGCAAAGCCACGCCTCAACTAAGACCCACTCTTAAAGATGATTAGCTAACAAGGTTCCCCATCATAGCTCTTTAACTTATTTGGTTTGAGTTACCCCAAGATATCTTATGTTATTTGTGGTTATTATGAAGGGTGTTGCTTCTCTGATTTCTTTCTTTGCTTCTTTATCATTTGTATATAAGAGGGCTACTGATTGTTTTGAGTTAATCTTGTTATGCTGCCATATTATTGAAGCTATAAAAGTACATTAGTAGAGTTTTGGGGGTTACTTATGTATACTATCATATCATCTGCAAATAACAAAAGTTTGACTTCTTACTTTCAACTTGAATCCCCTTGATCTCCATTTGTTGTCTTATTGCTCTAGCCAGAACATTAAGAACTGTGTTGAATAGATATGGAGAGAGTGGACAACCTTCTCTTGTTCCTGATTTTAGTGGAATCACTTTGAGTTTCTCTGCATTTAATTTGATGTTGGCTGTTGGCTTTTATTATGTTTAGATATCTTCCTTATATCCCCTGATCCCTCTAAGACCTTTATCATGAAAGGGTGTTGGATTTTATCAAATGCATTTTCAAGTGTCTAATGTGATGATCATATTCTTTTTTCCTTTCACTTATTTACAATGATAGATTTTCATATGTTGAACAAGTGCCATATTCTGTATATCTCTGAAGTGTTTGAAGATGGCCTGTCTAAAATATATCTTAGTTTGACCTTGAAATCATACCTAATGTCACTACAAGTGTGATTATAATAGTTGATGAAGTACTACCTTGCATTTCCATATTTTTCTAAACAGTTGGTAATAATAATTTTCAATGACTAGATTTGCATTACACTATTAAATGAGTTGTATAGGTACAATACATTGAACAAGAGTAGAAATTAATACAGTATGTTCTAAAAAGATTAGTATCACATTTGTATCAATATACAAAATTTGTATATGATATACAAAAGTCCAATCCAACATAAAATATTTAAAACTAATAGTAGCTTTTTAAAAGTATATTCAATAATCTACCTTTTTATTTTATCAGATATATATTCTTCCTTTCTTCAGAATATATCAAATAATCTATCCTTTTATCCTACTATTTCTGTGTCCCCCCTTTTTCTTTTCAATATATGAACTGTGTCTCTATTCATCTTTGTTCAATATTCCTCCTGACTGTAACCAATAACAATGTAACCAACACCCCTAAATAATGATAAATATCCATAACCCATTGAAAAACCAAAATCCACCTACCTCACACCTCTTGAGAATATGGTCATTGTATAATTAAATTTACTTTCTTTTCTCTGTGGGTGATTCTGAGAAGATAAATTTGCATTAATTGTTAAGTCCTACGAGAGTTAACTGTATCATTTGCTGTCTAGTCTCTGCATAATGGAAAAGTGCAGGGCTTGTTTCAAGTCCTAGCTAGAACAATCTGTTAGGCTGTATCATTTCAACAAGTTACCTTAAAATTGTTCTGAGAATTTTGTAGTCCAAAAGCCCATCTTTAGATAGTATTTTTTCAGCTCAATGGTATTATTATAGTCCTGGAAGAATTGTTGCTATGGTACCCCATCCATTCTTTGGAGACCTCAAAGGTGACTGTTAAGTGAGCTCATGGTTCACTGCAGAGAATTGATAGAGACTCTAATCCGAAATCATGTATAGAAAGTAGAGGATACCTTTTTCTAGATTTAGTTAGGACTATATGACCATTAATATCATGAAAAAAGTTTAGAATATATATATATAATATATATATTATATATACATCTTATAAACCTATTTTTTAAGAAAAGCTGTTAACATGTCAATATAAAACCAAGGGATAATGAGTTTTGACATGAGATAGAGATTTTAGATTTTACTTTAAAAGGAAACTTGGGTATAGAAAAGGGGGAGAGCCACACTCCAAACCAAAATCAGCTTTAATCTTTAGCTGTACTGGGAACTACAAAAAGACCATTTGGATTATATATCTATAGAGAACATCAGAAACAAATGTTCGGGAAGATTTATGAAATTTTATCCTGTTGGAAATGTGATATACCAAAAGGCCAATTTACTCTTTTTCTTCAGACTTTTTTTTCTTGGAGGTTTTGTTCTTTTTCTTTAGCTGTCTCATTTTTCAGTGTCTTCAGATACCTTTAGTCTCCTGAAAAGACAGAGACAAAACCCTTCCTCAACCCTAATTTTGGTGAAATTCTCTTTTGGCAAGTTATACCTGTTCAAATTAAAAGGATTTGTTAGTTTTATAGGTTAGATTAGATTAAATGGCCATACTTTTTGATGAACTATCATCTCCTCTGACTAAGAGGTGTCTTTTTAAAAAATCAAACCTTTATCAGTTTTGATAGTATCCATAGCTTTTTTTCTTCTGTAAAAAGAAAAGCAAAAACCCTTCCCCAATGTAACACATAACCTGGTTTCCATTCTGAGGTCAGTACATTTTTAAAGTACACTGTCTAATTTATTTCTGTAGTTTTTTTCAACTACCTAATGTCTCTCTACAGCAGTTGTTCATTTCTCATTAGCATTCAGAAAATTGAAAGTTAATAATTCATTACGCAGTCAATTCTGGGGATATTTATCATCCCTATCTGTTTATTTAACATACCCTTTAGAGTTTGATTTAATCTTTCTATAACTGCCTAACCTGTAGGATTGGGTGATGTAACTATAATATGCTTTATAATATAATAAGTGGGAAACTTTAATTTTCTTAGAAATATATGC